CTCTTGGCCGAACCGAAACGATTTTTCTTACAAGCTGTCTGACCAAAGAACAAGCTGGTGAGACCCTTACACTCCGGTGTAACCGCTAGCTGACCAAATCCCCTAGCTTCGACGTCGAATCCGACGACTGGACCCTTATCCAAACCAGTTCTCACCACTTCCAAGATTTTAAGAGGAGCAGGATATAAACCACCCGTCGCTTTCATCACCTGAGCTTTTGCTTTCTTGAATATCAGATCCTTGACGAAGTTGAAAGACAGAACCTGTTGCGTTATCTTGTCCACGAGAGACTTTGGACCACGCTCGACTTTCAGCTTCCCGTTCGCAAGATCCCGTGCAGCTTTCACCGCTGTTTCTTCCAAATACCTTATTGTACTAAAAAAAGCATAATTCGTTTTTTAAGGATACGATATAATTTCGATGGAAGTAGTAATATTTGGCCTTTTTACTATATAAAAAAAGACTGATATATATAATTAATATGAGAAGTGACAAGTATTTTTTAAATCAAGTTAGATATATGAGAGATTACAAGTGATTACAACATTATTATTATTATTAATATTTAAATAATTATGGCATAATCTAAATAAAATTCAAAAATCACTAGCTTTTGTTTTTTCTTTTAAAAAGATCAGCGTAAAAGATTTAAAGTGCATTTATATTAAAGTGTGTTATTTGTATGTTTTTACTTTTCTTCAGGCGTTCCGATTCCCGGACCGAGACGATTCACCACGATATCCACTAGTCCGAATCTTTTCGCTTTATCAGCCGTAACTGTTTTACCAGTGAGTATCATATCTAGAGCGGTAGGGATAGGAATCAGCTGGGGCAAACGTTGAGTACCACCGCCACCAGGAAGGAGCCCGAGCATTACTTCAGGTAACCCGAATCTGGTCTGTTTATCCTTAACGGCGAGTCTATAATGACACGCTAATGCGACCTAAAACAGAGAATAATCAATCTAATGAATAATTCTTCTCGTTGTGTATGAAATTTTTATTTCGTTTTCTACTTTATATTCTCACAAATTCTCTTTATTTTAATTTAATTATTAAAAATGTGTATTACCTCCAATCCTCCACCGAGACACGAACCGTGAATAGCAGCAACGATCGGTTTTTTACTGTTTGCTATTAAATCCATAATTCTGTGACCTTCTTTCACCAGTCGATATCCGCTATCCGCATCCGAAATAGCTTGTAACATAGGGATGTCTGCGCCAGCTATAAAATTGCTTTCCTTCCCGCTAATCAGAACTGCTGAGTTTACAAGTGAATTTGATTCAACTTCAGCTAGCAAACTTTCTACTTCCGCCATTACTTCTGTATTTAAGGTATTTATCTACATCAACAATAGATAAAACAAAAATCTGTGTTAAAATAATTTAATTTTTTTTGTGACAAAGTAATTTCATTGCCACGTTTCATGAGTTTGCAAGCAACATAAATATGCATATATATATTGTGTTATATATTACCTTGGATCCTGGCGAATCCATGATTATGACTGCCACATCGTTCACAATTTTACATTTAAAATGTTTCCTATTTGCCTCGGTTGCTAGTGTTCTTAAGGGTTGGTATAAACCTGCAAAAATATAATAAAAATGTAAAATATAAGAGAATCTAAATGTACTCCCTGTGTACATAAATATAATTAAATATAATAGTAATTAGTGAATAGAAAATATATATCATAATAAAATTTCGAATATATTTCATTAATACAAAAAATATTCTTTAAAACTTTAATTTTAGTGATATATTATTTAATTTTTATTTCCTAAGTGTTTCTTTATAACAAGAATAGAAACTGTAATGCTTACATCGATAAACAATCATACATATTCTATTCTTATTGCATTCTATTATATTTTTCATCACTTTATAATAGTCGAACCATATAAACGCCATTCAATACTAATTTACATAAGTGCAAAAGCATAAGCATATCATCCTATTGATAAATCAAACACCCAGTATAAATTTTGCTAAATAATATGATAGTTGAAAGTTTCATTTTTCAGAGATGTTTTTATGATGTATATTTTATGTTATCTGCATTTGCATTTCGAGTTTCTTTGATAATTTAATTTATAGTGCGTTTGACCAAAGTGAATTTAATAATATCATATTTCTGCTTCATCATTAAATGCATTTAAAACTTGGAACATATAAATATATACTTAATGCTTACATGTTTTGTAAAAATTTAACTTCAAAATACATACTCTGTGAAAATTTTATATAATCTTATTTTTAGATAAGTCTATTAAAAATATATATTAAAATAAT